AATGCATACATATATACATACATATATACATACATACATATATACATACATAATACTTGTCTATTCTCTTAAAATATATTTTTAAGATACATCACACGATACCCTGCGTGATATGTCTATATTTGTAAGTATTCAACTAATAACTAAACTGAGAAAGTGTAACAAGTGCGCATTAAATTATGTATACACGTGAAATAACAAAGTAATCTTAAACAGAGATAATCGACTAACAAGAGTTTGTAGTATCAAAAACAAATCTTCTCGTTGTAGCCACATATTTATGTCGCATGTTTGGCTATATACGTGTTACATTTTCGTATTTGACATATTTGTGTATTTAAAGATACTGCGAGAGCGCAGTAACAAAAATGAAATTTAAGTGTTATAACAATAACAGGCCAGATGAAAAACAAGGTTAGCCCGACAGCCGAGGATTAATCGGGCACTACAGTGAAATCTCGTTGGGATAAATGAAGTTTCACTGTAATTCCTGAGATCTCGAGAGACAAATCCTGCTCCGAGTAACACACACCAAATCTCTCTCGAGCCACACACACACACACATCGTAAAATTTTCGCTTCCGTTAACCGATAAACAAACAGAATACATCGATACGAATGTACATCAACTCACTGTATGTATATACCGGCACAGGGGGACGTGGGCTTGAAGTAGCAGATAGCCGTCACAAGAACACCACCATTCGAGAGGAAAAGCCGGCTTCCGGTCAGCTGGAAAAATTATTCTCGTTCGACCGCTGATCTTGTCGCATTCGGACGCGCAAACTCGAGCCGGTTTCCCTCGCGTTCACAAAACGGATCCGTACACGATCACGGATTGGGCCACAGAGAGTACACAGAAACGAGAAAGGAATTCCCTCGCAGGTTTGAAACGGCGGGCGTGGCGATTCGCGACCGACTGGCAGACTGCCGACCACCGGATGTCGCCACCAGACCGTTGCCGATGACTCACGCCACCCTCGTCAGGCTCAAGGCTTGATTGGTCCTTTCGCAACCCCCACCCCTCGGTCTCGGTCATCAGACGGAAAACCTCCTCACCTCCTCCGACCGGCTGTTTACCGTCTGACGCTCGCGTTCGTTGCTCGGTTGCTCGGTTGCTCGGTTGCTCCCTACCGAAAATACCGATCCCGTACGTAGCCGTGAAATCCTTCCATCTTTTCCAACTTTTCAGCTTGAACGAACAAAATATGACAACAACGCGACGACCGATTTATCTTCTCGATTCGATACATGTCATTTTTCGTCACTTTAGAAGTGTCCCTTCAAGTATCACTTTTTATTTTGACAACGAAATTGTAGAAGCG